TGTCAAAACGCTTGGAGCGTTTGGCAGAACACTGAAAAGCAGCTTAATCACTCAGTTACAAGCTTCTCCTTCGGTCATCGATCGTCCTTCTCCCTGGACAGTCCCCATGGAGCGGCTTTCACGCGCGAAAGTCGAACGTGAGATCAGACTGTTGAAAGTAAATAAGGCCACAGGAGCGCGTAGAATGCCTACAGCTCACTACAAATTCCGGGGGACCTGCTTTTGTAGATGATTTGCACAACTTACTTGTGGAGCTGTGGGAGCAGGAAACTGTCCTGGCAGACTGGAGCTGCTCCGTTATAATCCCAATTCTCAAGGGGGTATCACGTTCTGATTGCGGCAACCATAGAGGGATCAGTCTGATCACAACTGCTTCTAAGATACACGCTCCTGTCGTTCTTTATAGACTTTATGGCACACGTGAAAGGCAGATTCGCGAAGAGCCATCCAGACTTCGTCGAAGTTGCGGCTGAACTGATCACATCTTCACACTATATTAATTGTTGGAGCACCTCCATAGTTATCGGCGGGCCACTGTAGTCGTGTTACTCGACATCAAGGGTGCCTTCGATTCGGTTGATCGATGTGCCCTTTGGGACCGTCTACTGAGGAAGGGTGTACCCGAGAAATATGTAAATGTCATAAGAACGCTATATGCGTATAGTTCGGGCAGTGGGGCTTAGGGCAAGCTGTCGCCGCCCTTCAATATCCCCAGCGGTGTGAGACAAGGATGCCCGCTGTCACCTTTCCTTTTTAACTTCCCCATCGACGAGAGTATAGAAACTGCGTTCACTGGACACGACCTAAAAGGCGTGGAGCAGCTTCCAAGTGAACGACTTTTTGACTTGGAGTATGCGGACGATATTGCTCTTATCTGTGGCGGCTTTTAAACGTGCCAAGTAGCACTGGGCTATGTTTTGCACCCTCGAAATACAAAGTCCTTCTTCAAGATTGGCAGGGACCGTCTCCTACGTTGACCCTTGGTGGGAATCAGCTAGAAGGCGTCGAAAATTTCAAATATCTAGGCAGCTATATCAGCGCCAATAGCAAAAGCTAGAGGCTCTTTTGCCAATCTCCGCCATCTGTGACATCGGCGCGATATCCCTCTCGCCCTGAAGGACAGAGTTTACAATGCAGCCGTTCGTTCAACCCTACTGTATGGTTGCGAAACCTGGTGTATCAAGTTGATAGACCTAAAGAGGCTAATCATGTTCGATCATCGCTGCCTTCGCAGCTTAGCTCATGTCTGGTGGGAGCACCGCGTAGGCAATGAGCGTGTTCGGCGGCGCGTACTTGGTGCAGGAAGAGCGAGTGAACCGCTCAGCACCATTATATCAAGCACCAGGCCTCGGTGGCTAGGCGACGTGTTGCGCATGCCAACTCACCGAGTCCTACGAGGTGCATTATTTGCGCGCCCGGGGTTTGGATGGAAGAAGAGGGGTGGCCAAACGATGACTTGGTCAAGAGGAATGAAATCCCTCACTTCGAAGTTAGCGTCGGTTGGTGTATCCCGACAACCTGGCTGGGGTCCCAAAGACGATGAGCACGTTTGGTTGGATATACTGGTTGACGTGGCAATGAGCTGACCTCAATGGCGTTTGTGTTGTGAGTATCTCTGTCCGTCCCCATCTCGCTTATCTTCTCCCTCCAACCTCCATCTTCCGTTTGACGCAGAATATGTTACTAAGTAGTCTATCACCTGATTTGTAGCATTCTATAATTTGCATTAACATGTTTTTTCGGATGTTTTATCTTTATGTATTGAAGCACAATACTTGAAATGTGTTTCTCACCTTCAGCTTATGTGTAAGGATGATAGTGATGAGGATTGCTCATCCTCCATCCATGTGAGCAAGAATATTGCTAATGTGACAGTGGCTAGTGATATGACTACTTAAGCAGAAAATACAGGCATCACCAGATGCTTCGCAGCCACCTAATGGCCAACAGTGGGTTAAACCCACGTCTCACCTCTGAACAACTGGGCCATCGGTCGGTGGGTCGACTGCGGGAGCCATAACAGCACCTAGAAAGCCATTTTAAAGACCCGCGTTCAGTACACTCGCAAGAAAATAGTGATAGGTACCCCGGTACGAAAATGGAAGCCTTCCCACCAGCAGTACAAACGTTCCAAGATTTTCTCATGGTAAACGGTTGAAGACCAGTGACAGGAGGGGCAAGCCATCTTTCGAATGTAAGATGCCATTCCAAATTGGTAGTAATACGTCCACACGCTGCGTACAACGCATGAACGCAGCATTTCCTCGGTACAGATGCGTGCAGTGTCGCCATAATTCGCGTATAAGACAGAGGTGTCCTAATGCATGCAGGTTTGGGGTTCGACGACGGAAGCTATGTGTTTCGAGGCACCGGCGACCTCAAATCGATGGGTCGAGGTATTGAAGTTGCTCTCAGAAAATGTGCGGAGATTTCGATTCCTGAATGGACCCCGAAAAACGAGTGCGTATGTGCGATTAGACATCGGAGCCCAAACGAGGTCACCAAGCGGCATTCGGATTCAAGGCACTGTACATTGCACCGACACACAACCATCGACTGTAGGCTGGAGACCACCGAAGCTAAATGACCAGGACAACCCTGCTGGCCAGCTCGAATGGGCAAAAGTGCGGACAGGCCGAATGATGTGAGTGACTCAGATTTTCAGGTAATTCGAAGTGGGATCACCACATCGGAGGACGTTTCAGGGTTGATGCTTGTCGCATTGGCAATGACTGTCATTGTAAGCCGAATACAACTGACATATCGGCAGCACAGTTTTATAGTATGAGCTTTGGCAACGAGCTACATGACACCTAACTAACGACAGGATGTCTTGAACTAAAATTGATCAGGAAGCTATAAGCGGTACAAGTCAGCATAAGACTAGTGGCCAGTCTGGAGCGCTTATCTCTATCTACGGGGTAAGCTTGAGGGGGATGCTGCGCTGTGTAAGAGGCAAGTAAACTACCGCCTTATCTTCACATTATGGCTAATTGCTCGCGATGGGGTGATTTTGGCAAAATGCAAGCATTTTGACTCTAAATATTAGCCTACTTGTCTCCACTCCTCTCCCTATCGTTTAATGGTGGGATTTTATCTCCTGATATATGCCTGGGTGCGAAATACCCACGAACCGGATGTGGGGGATGTTAACGATGATGGGAGACGCAGCGCCAACGCGTGTGACTAATCGTTGAATGTGGGAAATCACCGGTTGGGGATAGGAATAAACCAGCCCATGTTTAATTTAACGAAGTGCTCATATTGGTTCTGGGGTCGGAAACGCGTGAGTGTGTGAGCAAGCACCACCCAAAATGTCGCTGTTCGCCCATACCTTTACGCACTATATGTGATTTGCATGTGGAGTCGGACTGGAATCGACTACTGCGACTGCAATAAAAACGGGACCACATAGAACCCTTATCGGGCTGACAGGAACGGGCAACAGGAAAGATGCTGCCCACATGTGGCATAAGCAATTAAGTAAATAGCCGCTTGAAATAAGCCACGAATTGTTTAGCAAATCAGCATAAGCGGTAGTCGAGCGACACACTGTATGAATAAATTAAATAAAAAGAGTGCCAATAGTATATATTTATTGGGTGGCGGCACGGTGGACCTCCAAGCGGTGGGTGTTCAGACTGTCAAGATCCAAGTTCGAACACACTAAAAGCAGCATATAGGGCTCGGAATACAGCAGCCCCCGGTGATACGTCCCAATGACTGCGAATAGCTACAGGACAATTGTGTCTTTAGGGGAACTATGGATGACGTGCACTGCGTCCCTCACATGCTACATTTTTGTTGTACATCCGAGGGAATAAGAGACGGTATATGTGGGCAGGTTAAAGTTAACTCAGTGTAACACTCAGTAAATGGCCCGGATGTGAAGCGACAGAAGTACCATCAGCAATGATGGTCATGTATGAGCTCACACGGAGTCTCAGGAGAGACAGGGGGAGTCGAGCAGACTGTGTCCTAGAATGATGGATGGTCAAGCATCACCCAGCCTACCGGACGTTGAGCTGTACATTATCAACTTGGACGGTGAAGATAAGAATTTACCCAGTAAGTGATGGGTTGGAGTGATGGGAAGCGTGATTCTTGGTCCCCGTATGAAGATCTAGCGAGTACCGGCTGTTACCCACGGCTGATAGGTTACCAGATCTCTAACGCTTGTGGGGGCGTCTTAGAAAGGCGCCCCCTTGGAGCAAAATCAAATACGATGAACAGTAAGGGATATTTTCCGTGCAATCTTAGGCACAATCCGATATCTTAAACAGGTCGGTACTAGCCGAAACGGGGATTCTTCGTGAAGAGCGATAATTGATGAATTAAGTACGGTTAAATTGCATTGGTCGAATAAACTGTAGCATGCTGATTGTATGAGGTACCCTAGTGAGAAGTGTCAAACCAAATTTCGACATGTTGCCTAGGTTAACCTGATGTAAAGCAGTGAATGTTGACGTGCATAGCTAAATGGATGAATTGGTTGTTCCGTGGTGACTTGAAGACTGTCGCGATTGAAACAATGACCGCAGTTCGGAAGTCAAAACCGAAAAGTACGGTTCAAGGTGGCCGTCAGAGCAATGGACATACAGTGAACCCTGAGATTCAGATGGAGGATCCGACAAGAAGATCAAGGATCACAAAATTGCAAGTCTATGTGTGCTGAAATAAACGGTTCATGACACCCTTAGTTGCGAATAAAAAAGAGGAAAAAAGTGCTAAACCTATGTTGCGTCTGGACTAACTAGATAAACTCAAATATCTGTGGTTCTGCAGTCGGAAGAGGCAATACGAATAGACAGCAATTAGTTGATTACACGGGTGCTTGAAGCCCGATGTGCATGCAGAATGACGACAAGAATGAGGTTGTATGAATGGGGGAAAATTGGCCAAGACAAAGTAACAGGTTTATGAATGCAAGGATCTGAATAACTATGAGACGAAAAACAACCTAGAAACTAGTGCTAATCGACAGACACGTGATAACTCACCAAAGAACAGCGTCGTTCTCTTCTAGACATAGGTCCCTCCAAAAATTGAGTGGCTCTCCGCCACAAATGTGGTGGTAGATTGATATTGGCCGGCAAGGAGAGGCGGTTTAACGACCTGCCGGGAAGGCCATCAGTCTCGCCACCTGAATCAGAGGTGCCACAAGGTAGTCTACAGACAGGGTCTTGCCCAAGACGACGCAAGCGATTTCTAGTGTCCACTGGACGGCGGCGCACTTCCGCCAAGCCAGCCATCAGCTCGGCAGCTGAGGTGCCAGTCTCATCGGAAACCATCGCAACAGCGGCAGCAAGGCTCGGGTTCAAATGGTTTTCCAAGCTGGACACGGTAAAAGATAAAGGTCGGGTCCTATTGGTCGGGTCGGCTTGTGTTGTGGGTTTTGCCTGGTTTGGAGGGTTAGGTTGAATTTGGTGATCATCGGCTTCCACTTCCTCTTCCTGAATGGTAGTGCCTGCGACCATTCGCGAGGCCTGTAGAATGGGCCCATTAAAGTCCGTCCACCTTGGAGGAGAGAAGGTGGTGATAGACGACCGCGTTACAACCAGCTGTGTGGGCAACGAAGCACCCGAATGAGATAGACTAGATGCCATAGCACGATCGGACTGTTGGGGGCAGGGATTTGAGCCAGAAGACGCATCCGATCGACCATCAAGATTGACAGGGGCATCGAGATCATTGCCTTTAGATTGATTAGACTGTAGGTGGAGTTGAGTCAACTGGGAGCTCAAGTTCCTGCGGGTCGCTTGAACCTGCGAGGTCCTAGGTGCCGAGCCATTTGCTGTAGCGTTACTTCCCTCGGTTTGAGTGGTCCGGTCAAACGGGAGCCTGGAAGACAAATTCCCATTCATGTCTGTTTGACACGCCATCCCAGGGCCACATTTCTGTGGTCCGAGTGGGCATACCGATCGATGAGTATCAGCTGTAGAAGTGAGTGGACTGTTGGGGAGCGGATGGGAGAAGGGCGCAGTCATCGTTGGGTTGGTATTATATGGAGAGTTTTCGTCCTCTATTTCAGCATGAGGGGCTTTGTGTATGGATGAGGAGGAGGCCGGGGATAAGTATGAGGTAGATGAACCACCGGGAAATACTTCACTTCCTGGAGAGCTGGGGCCAGTGGAAAGTGAGAGACGCTGAGTTGGAGGCTGAGAGTTGTGCGTAGGACTGCTAGTGATCATACGATTATTGTTCCGTTGTAATGCGGAATCGTACAAGGTAGGCTCATTGTCTGATCGATGCAAGTCTAGGGAAGTTCTGCTCAGCTCGAAGGAGGTGCCATTTGGCTGAATCACAATGGGGCTGGTTGACGGACCGTCGACACCACAATACGTGTTGGTGGTGTGATTTCCGCTTCCAGAGTTTGCAAAACGATCACTTATATTTGGAACCTGATGCATTGATGGAAATTCCAACGGACACTGCGGAACGAAGGGAACGTATTGGGGTTTCGGTGAACCGGACAACCGTAACTCGTCTGTGGACAGTGAAAAAGTATAGGGGAAGCATATGAACACCGTTGGAAATAAGCACGTCTTTACAAAGCATTCATTTGTCCCTTGTAGGGATTGGAATAATGACAAACTATGAACGCATGACCAATTAGGAGAGCATGAAATGCTCGGTGATCCAATGTCTTACTTTGTCTAAAGAGAATGCGAATATAGAAGGGTAAAAGCGAACATCCACTTCAGCAGAACATCATTGGGAATGCGTAGCAGCCACAACGGATCGGTACAAACGGGTGAAGTGCAGTAAATGACATCAACCAGTGGGGATGGGGGGGGGGCTAATATGCTGCAACTCCGGTGAAGTGCCACATGTGTTCCAAGAAAATACCATGAGATAAGCATTTGTCCAGACAAGGATCACTCGAAAAAACAGAATGATTCGAGTGGACTGTTGCGAGACGAGCCGAGTCGTGACCAATGCGGTCGTGTTGTGATTCGCTTAGGTACCAGCAAATGAGAGACAGAGGAGTGGCCCAGGATAGCAATCATTTTCCACGTACTAGCAGCGCAAAAACCTGCAAGGAGTACTACAATGTTATGAATAAGGATGATTTATGGTAATGGTCTATTAGTTGTGAGCCAGATTACAAGATGTTATCAGTAATGTACGTTTTGGCATGCATCAGTGGTCGGTCCGGAAAATGCGGAGCAAGAGGCTACGGTAACAGAAAACACCAAACGTGTATTTGATTCTTCTCTGATGCGCATAACCGTTGTAATAGTTATAGTTCAGCGGATACCAGTGTGTCAGCAGAAGAGGAGACAGCTGGCTGTGTATCTTAGATCCATGCCAGTAACCGGTTAGAATCGTATGACAGGGATTGTATGTTATCTGTGAATTGTTTCAATGTTCTGCTGCACGAAGGAGAAAGACGGAATCATCATCAAAGATATCTATATCAATGTGGTTATAAAAGCATCAAAATCATATCGACGGGGTAAATGAACAATGGCAAACATTGCTAAAGATTGTTTTCAAAAAAGAACAAATAAAACATAAGCTATTAACGAGTATGTTCGGTTCGCAGAACCACTGAAAACCGACAGAAATGATCGTAGTAGAATGCGGACGAACGATCAATGGTGTTTAAAATGGAGGGAAATAGTCTCTTCAAAAAGCAGATCAGGCCGATAAACTGTTGCATCATAAATCGTCTAGTGACACTGAGTTACGGCGTGTCAGCCATGGAAGAGAAAACCCGCAAGTGGGCAACGCAGCCTACGACTGTGTACATCAAATTGTTGCATTATGTATCGCGAAGAACGACGCGTGATTCCGGAGGATCATCGGGGAAAACAGCATCTAAAGGGGACAGGAATGGTGCGTGTCAAAATTCGCTGCTCGGATGTGGAGCACACCCGATCTAGATCGGAGCAAACAAAGAACCACAGTGCCCCTAACCAATTGTTGCATCTGGAACCGTTGGTAGTGCGAAAAGATCTATCACTCCATAAAAACCTTCCCCTACCAGATGCTATCAGATCTGTAAATGCAGGTTGGAATAAAATGGAGAAATACAACAGCTTGTCCTGAATCATTCGAGTGGAGTCAGTGATCAAGGCTTACTCGTCATGTGGACTATACCTGGCGTGGACCCAGAGAATGAGGCTTACTGACTATATTGAACTATACGATCGAAATGTTTCAGCAGTGCACTGTATGCTGTTGAACTGGACGCGTGGAATCCAGTAGATTCAAATGCAAGTAGTAAACCCACGGTTGATTCGGGATTTTTGGCACGTGTGGTAGCTATGTGTATGGGGAAAGGTGGCATTACTTATTTCACTTGTCGAAGATACCAACGTATTCTCTGTCAATACAAAGTGAGTTCGGAAAAGCTATTTTCCGCGAGATCCAGTGGTCACGTGTAAAGATGCGGTTTGAGGCGAATCACCAGTTCGCTCACGACTGGTATATCGGCTGCATACATTCTTGAAGTTTGAATGATGGTTTTTCGTAACGGTAAATAACTTGCTTAACCAGCCGCGCATCATGCAAGCTTGATGTCTGGAGAACCCTCGAAACGCAGAATTGATGAAGTTAAGAGAGTGGCCGGTAGTAGTGCGACAGCCGGAAGATTAACAGAGACAGACCTTTGGATAGTGTGGTAGATGCCCCTTGCCTTTCTGCAGCACGTATTTCAAGGTGCCACATAGTTTTGTGAGCAGCGTTTGTTGGAACAACCGGAGGAGAATATCCTACGGTAGCTTAAGATTCAGACAGCGTTCAACAATAGAACGGTTAACTTTTAGCAGTAATCACAAAAACTAGCCGGGATTTAAGTCATGCTGCTACGATTGCCGATTTCCACATCCTCCTCTTTTCATCATCATCCTCACCGATACACATTAGCTGAGAGTGAGAAACATACCAACCGCAGTGAGGATTTTCATTCCCCTTGACCAAGTTATCGTTTGGCCTCCTTTCCTCGTCTTTCACCCAGACTCCGATCGCGCAAACGCGCGATGCGGTAGTCGGTGTGCTGTCATGCGCAACACGTGGCCCAGCCATCGGTGCTTGCTGCGTGATATAACGGTGCTGAGCGATTCACTCGCTTTTCCTGGTGCCGAGTTGTACTCCCACATGTAAACCGAAGATCCTGTTGTTGTCCGTGGTGGTCTACATGCATATACGTACGCTATCTCAGCATGTGTTGTTTACCAGTACTGCACCTAGTTGGGTGGTATCTTATGACGGTCAATCAGTTACATAACAAAAAGCATGAGGAAACGCGCCAAAAGGCCAACTCGGATGAGTGCTTGTTGTCCATCTGGGTGGACGCATAGGAATCGACCCACAATAACTAGATAGACCGTTAGATTGGTGAAATAAGGTGGCGAGAGCAAAGATGGTTCGATGCATCAAAAAAGGCACTGAACATTGTAAGAGCTTATGTGCGCGCCGTGTATTCTTGCGCCTTGATTATCGAAGACCGCTTTTTGCCTTGCATATCGGACCGGGGTGACCTAAGACTTGGGGACAGTCGTTGATCGGGTAGCGGAAAGTGAGGTCGATGACCAATAGACTGGTCACAGTTGATTCACCTTGTCTCTCAGAGTCGGGTCCATGAGACGCATCCTATGTTCAGCTGCAGGCCAAAGGGGACTCAGTTCGCGACCGGCACTGGTAAAACGTGTGCAGCCATCTCTCATCAGGACTACCTACTTAGAGCTTGAATGATGTTGAGTAGTGTCGGGTGATATCAATTATGAGGCTGAGCAGTTAAAGCCACAATTGGGCGGTGCCATCGATGCCGTTCTACTCGCAAACGATGGTCAACTGCTTGCTACGACGTGAGTCGTGACAATAAAAATAGGGATGGGAAAATAGGTTGAACACAAAGAAAATACAAAGTAGTCAAGAAAGAAAGAAGTGCCTAAAATTAGCCGGGACAGAAGAAAAACTAACAGTTAGATGCAAGGAACCGAACGCATGAGCGCCACTGACTGTGCAACTGTGCCATGTCCGATAGAACCTCAAATAACCGATTTCGACTATCCCAGGGCCCCCACTCATGAAGATGACGCGCAGCAGTCTGACCGAGTCTCTAAGTCAATTTCTTCAGGACTTTGTCCCACATCGTAGACTGACCACCTCGCGGTTTTGCCCGAATTGACGCAACCACGGCGCATAATGCATATCTGAGAAGACAGTCATCAGAAATAACGAGAACGACCTAGCCAACGTAAGTGGTTAAGCTTCAGTAAACATTTGAGTGAGACACCAGAAGGCTTGTTGCCAAAAAAACCAACTGGCGGATCTCAGCATTTTTAACCGGTGTTCCCAACACACCGCAAGTACCGGTAGTCAAAGAAGGTTAATTGCCTAGTGTTATCAACGCGAACTGACAAAGTCTGTTCCATACAATAACACCAATCTTATCGTAACACCATACACCCGCCGTCTCCATAGATGGTTGAGCCTCTGGAAAGCCCCACGGATCTTGCTGATAGGGGAAGTAATCTCCTCAATGATGTGACTACCAGAGATGACACAACTACGAAAGTCAGTGAACCGATCGATCACCTCATGTGGCTATTCGGTGATGGCTAGAACAGATGGCGTATTGGTCCGTTCCTGCAACAGGACTTCGCAGTTAGTAAGTGCAAAGCACATGCCGAAGCCTCCTGAATGTAAGATCAGAGAGCGCAAGTTTTATAGGGAATCATATTCACCATTGGTGTCATCATCCTTTAATAACAGTCACTATAGTTCTTTGGTAGGGAAGTATAATGCAGAGGAAAGAGACTATGTCAGTCCCAGCGAGTCATCAACGTTTTCAGGCAAAGTATGTATTGAAGCACTCGGAGTCAAGCGCTTGCACCGCTTCAACAACACCAGAAAGAGTTGGATGCCATTCACTGAAGGAGCTATAATGTCAACTATCTGATTGGGTCCAAGAGACAAAACTAACAGGTCGCGCATAATGACAAGTTGAACAGTTCTGTGACATGTCCGGCTTAGATATCATATACAGGTCTGAAGGTGAGTCGTTAATCCAGCTTTCTCAGTTACATCCTCATTTACAAGGGCCTTTCTCCGATCCACAGATCGGATGAGCCGAAACAACACTCGGGTGTTCCCAGTGTCACTGGCTTACTTCCGTTCACAGACCCTCCCCAACACTCCCGTTCAACCCTGAAATCCCTAATGAGACAACGTTTCATAGTGGCACCTATGGCGCCGGTGCGACATCACTATCCCTGAAGGGTAGAGTGTACAACGCATCCGTCCGTTCGACCCTGATGTACGGTTGTGAAACCTGGCAGAAGTAGAGGCTAGTTAGGTACAACAATCGGTTCCTCCGCAGTTTGGCTCAATTCAGGTGGAAACACCGTGAGAGCAATGAGCGTATTCGATACCTCGTTCATGACACAGGAAGGAACGAACCGCTCGGCACAGTTATATCACGCACCAAGCTTCGATGGCTTGGCCACATGTTGCGCATGCCAACACACTGACTCT